ACACAAGGCCTCTCCATTTAACTGGCTGGAGCCTGCTTTGGATTCTCTCTCTCTCTCTCTCTCTCTTTCTCTCTCTCTCTCTCTCTCTCTCCCCCTCCCCGGCTCGCACTCTGTCTCTCAAAAAATCAACATTAAACAAAAATAAAAATAAAACATATATATAATTTTGATTCACAACATGCAAAACACTGCCACCTCATGCTCTGTCATTGAAGCTTATGAAGACCAGAGCTTGGATAGATTTATGGAATTTGTTTTGTTTTGTTTTCATTCTTAGGTCAAAGCCCACTGCAATGAATGACAAATTATTTACACATAAAAGGGTTGAAGATGTTAATGTAAAAATTATTTCTCACTAGTGTGACGATATATTTCACTCTTCAACTCAAACCTGACTATATTAATTGTTTGGTCACTTGGAGTCGTAATATATCATAGGTTGATATAACCTTGTGTTGGTTCGCCATTAAAACTGGTTTCCTTGCATTCTCACAAAATATATGTTTGCAATCCAGTGTTCCTTAGCACATGTGCCACTGCTCAGGTGTAACCGTTTAGTCTGTTAAAATCTAATTTCTCAAAATTCAGATCCAAGAAACAGACGAATGCAGTGAATAAATAAAAAAATAAATTTCCACCTATCTGTAATTTCTGATATACTCTTTGTCCTTCACAAACTCACGTGATATTTAAGCAAAGAATAATGCTTACTCCCCTATCTCTGTTTGGAAGTCACGATTGGGCTAAGCATTCTTTCCTGCAGAGGGGAGCTGAGAAAAAAATATTGTTGATCTACGGTGCAGTTTATTACGGGGCACAGCTAAAATTAAAATCATGGTGTCTGGGCTCTTGATTTTGTGGGATTACAAGTTGCTTTGTTGTTGGGGGTGTTAAAAAGTTGAAACAGGAGTCTACATAACCGATCCCAGCCTGACTGACAGGCAGTGAGCAGAGCCTCTCCCCTTCAGGATTTGAGAGACTAACAGTGCTGTTTGATGTGAGGCATAGCCCAGAAGCCAAATGAGAGAAGGATGATTGGTACAGGGTTCACACCCACCAGGCAGCAGCATCACTTTGAAGGTTTTCGGTTGATTTTATTGTTGATGAAAATCAAATTGCCATGAAATCAGAAAAGGATTTACTAAAGTAGCCATCACCCAATACAGAAGATATATTATAAAATAGAAACTGCACATGATATTAGCACATCAAAGAGAGAAAGGCTTGCCTAGAGAATTATCACACAGTTTCACATAAAACTCCACCAAATGGCACTTTACTTTTAACATATAATAACCAGCATGTTCTAAGACTACATGCCAAAATTTCAACCAAGCTTATTAATAGAAATGCCAGAACACCTGTCATTACATCATTTATTTGCAACATGTCTATTTGTGATTTCCATTTAAGGACAATGGAAGTATGCAAGAAATTTGCTTTGATGCTTTCTGTGGTTTCTTCACTGTTATCGGGGTGACTGGCTTTTGTCTGATTTTCTCTAGACTCTCAAACCTTTTCTCTTGAAGATAATATGTTTGCTCCTCACTCTTTTCAAAGATAAGCCTATAGACCACTGCTTCCTCTGTTCTCCCTCACCAATCTCTGCCATCAGCATCACTAAAAATAGCAACACTCTATCCGAAGCTACAGTAAGTTACCCCTGAAGATTGCTCAGAAGCAACCGCTAGTGAAGCCGGCAGCTGCATGGTTATTTCGAACTGGCTGGCCATATGGTGCATGAGGGATGTAGACTTTAAAGAAATTTCTGAACTGCCAGTTAATTTCCTGAGATATTTTGAAATATCGCAAACATGCTGTATATATTACCTCCTAATTTTCTCTAAGAATACCTTTATCATCACAATTTAAAAGCCAGCTTCTGTTCAAGCATTCCTGCATAGTTTTAGGTAAAATGTGAGTTCATATATTCAGTGATCTGACCACTATGGGAACAAAATATTGAATATACGGTAAGATTTTGCCACTGGTATTACCTTGGATATTACCACATTTCACTCTGTTTTGGCTCTGTTTCCTTTCTTTGCTTATAGAGTTATTGGCTAGGTATCACGAAACTAAAAGGAATATTTCCCCCAAATCCATCAAAACCAAAATAACACAAATAAAAACATTAAACTTGGTAGAATCTCTTTACTACACTAAACCACTAGAACTATTTTCTATACCATGCAATTTTATAATGATCTTAGAATAAATCTTAAAATGTCATGCTTTGCTAAGGATGAAAACGTCTTATTAGAATTATAAAATTAAATGAGTGTGTCACTCTTTCCACCTACTAATTCAATGATTGATGCTTTCTTAACTTTTTTTTAAAGGAAGTGTTAAACAGGAGTGCCTGGGTGGCTCAGTCAGCTGGGTGGCCGACTACAGCTCAGGTCATGATCCGTGGTCTGTGGGTTCAAGCCTCGCGTCGGGCTCTGTCCTGAGCGCTCAGTCTGGAGCCTGCTTCCGATTCTGTGTCTCCCTCTCTCTCTGCCCCTTCCCTGCTTGCTCTCAGTCTCTCTGTCTCTCTCTCTCAAAAATAATAAACAATAAAAAAAAAATTAAAAAAAAAGAAAGCGTTAAACATATCAGGATGTTTAATTAAATTAAAAGTTTTGTGAGGGCTTGACTCATGTCTAATATTTATTTTCTATAGAGCATGATATTTAATCTACAGGTAAGCACATAGCAGAAGTGCAAGACTTTTGCATAGTTATTTTGTCCTGACTTAGACAACTACCCAAGTATCTCCTTTTTGTCGTGAAGCAAAGATCAAGTTTAGGACATACATTGTGTAGCATCTTAATAGCAGAGTCAACACAGAAAAACAATCCGTAGTATTTCAATCCATAATAATTATTAAATTGTGCTTATTCATTTATTTATTATCTGTCTCTGCCATTGGAATGTAAACTTTAGGAGGAGACTATGGATGACACATAGTGTGACACATAGCAACAAATACTTCTGCAATTAATGCATGAATATATTCCTGTGTGGCTGTATAACACATACACACAGAGATACTTCCACAGAAGAATCATATGAGTTTTATTTGTTAAAAGAATAAAATCACATATAAAATCTTCCTTCCTGATCAGGTCATGTTGGGAAGAGGAAAAACAGCAGCATAGTAATCAATGTTTTAACAAGGATTTATTTTTTTATTTTAATAAAGTGTTTACTAAGGTGAACTTTTGCATATCCACGTCTGTGGTTTTATGTCATCTGTGTGCCCACCACCCTTGGCAGTTAAGATCTTATCTAGATTCTATAAAATGGAGTTTACAGTGCAATACATTATTGTTGCTCTTTTTTTAATATTAAAAAATTTTTTTAAATGTTTATCATTTTTAAGAGAGAGCACAAGCGGGGGAGGAGCTGAGACGGGGGAGACATAGAATCTGAAGCAGGCTGTAGGCTCTGAGCTGTCAGCATAGAGCCCAACACGGGCTCTAACCCATGAACCCTGAGATCATGATCTGAGCTGAGGTCAGAGGCTTAACCGACTGAGCAACCCAGGCACCCCTATTGTTGTTCTTAAATGTTCTTATTTTCTTTCATTTTGTAGAAGAACAATGAAAATAGTTGAAGCATAGGCAAACATGATGGATCACCCAAACAGTAATCAATGAGAACCTGGATTTCAAGCAACAGCTAATATTAGTAAATTAAACATAATGGAAACTTAATAGAACCAAATTTGTTTCCTCCTAGATTTTCAAATACTTATGCTGGTACCTAACAGGAAAAAAGGCATCCAATGTACAACTTTGTGAACAGAAAAAAATATATGGGAAACTTCCAAATATATGGGAAAAAGCAATAAATACTCATTTACTTTGAAAGCTACAGAGGGAGGGACTACACAGGTACTCTGAGTAGGCAAAGCTGACAAGGATATTTCTCCAGCTGGTGGGAGTATACAGTTTAATGAGAGAAACCAAACATTTCAATAAAATACGTTGTGATGAGAGGATTTAGCCTGTCACAGGAGGTCAGGAAATCCCTGCTGGGGAGATGATGCCTGATCTAACTTTTAAGAAAGTTTGAAGAATATAAAAAGCGCACAATATGAAGTTTACATTGTAAGATTATGAGCTATCTGTACAGTGACATTTCCCACTATAAATTTATTCAAGATTTCACATTAACAGTTAAAAGGGAGAACTCCTAAACAATTTTCTAAGTAATTCCCATATTCAGAAATAAATGTTTGAAAATTATATTTTCCATGGTAACATACTGAATCAGAAAAGCATGGCCTGATCAAATAATACTACCTTAACACACCCACCTTTTCTCAATGAATCTTAAAGGATCCTTTATGAATAGATCTCTATAAATGGTTGTTATTTTTCCAAAACAGTGAATTCTAACACATTGAAAATTGCTTTCACTTTATAAAATGGGACAATGATGTTGTTCAGATATGAAGGAAACCATTTCAAATATCAAAGTTCATCTATTTCTTAGCTTATTTGTTCTTTTGAGGTCAGGTGAATTGAAACATTTAAGAAAATGAGTGGAATTCTCTTAGATTTGCAGATGAGTATTTGAAATTGCTTTAGATAAGAGGGCCAGAGTGAAATGGAGCAAAGAGATAAAAAGAGACAATGATATAATGGATGTGATTAGGTGACATTGTTGAAGAGAGAAAGGGGATCCAGACAGGGAATTAAAGAAAATGAGCATAGACATATAGAAACATCCTACAGAAGACACAGAAAAAGTGAAAAGATTTGACAACAATTTACACAAAGGACTAAAGAGAATAAAGATATGGAATTACATGTTCTGGGGGAAAAAAGGCGGGTAATTGAATTTTTACGAAAATAGAAGAATCAACAGGGAGTGCAATAGGGTGGTCCCAGAAGGTGAAAACTCACAGGAAATGATGGGACAACAGTGCAGATATGCTTGTAAGTTTGGCCATCAGTGTTACAGGTAACCTCCTGTATGTGTTAAATATCAAATTCAAAGTTCAGTACCTTTGCTTTATCTCTCATTGATCCTTTGCCCAGGATAGACATTTTAGCACCTGTTTCTTCCTGTAGTCTCTTCAAGGAGTTTCCTCTTGGTCCAAGCAATTTCCCCACAAAATTGAACTAGGAAACAAAATCAATAGAATTCTGTTTTAAAGTAGAAAAAAGTCATAATTTGCACCAAAAATAAATGATGGGCTGTGGGCTTTTCAAACTTTACCATGCAGAAGAGAGTTATGCCATTCACACACACAGAGACACATACACTCACAAAAACTATTTCAGATCTTCTCATCTACGATCCATTTTAAGAAGGATGCCTCTTCCTAAAAGACTGCCAAAATCAATAATATATTGAACATGTCATATACTTACATAATCAAATAAATAAATCACTTACAAAAAAGAAATTAGGGAGGAGCACAATGGTTACAAAATTACTAAAAGCTTTTTCTCTCCAAACAGATTATTGAAAACTACACATATACAGAAAAGTTTAAAACACTACTGATAGTGCATACATACAAAACAGTTTCTCTAAACAGGAAATTCTAGAGGGTCTATTCAGTATGTTATTCTTCCTAAAACATAGTTAAAAACAAGTGAAATAAAAGCAGTTATTGGAGTATATTGTCAGTTACTAACATACTCCACACCAAATGACTTGAATAATCTTTCACCTATTAATTTAAGAAATAGAAAGGGCTTTGGGGTGCCTGGGTGGCTCAGTCGCTTAAGTGTCCGACTTCAGCTCAGGTCATGATCTCAAAGTCTGATTCGATGGTTCAAGTGCACATCGGGCTCTGTGCTCACAGCTCAGAGCGTGGAGCCCGCTTCAGATTCTGTGTCCCCTCTCTCTCTCTCTCTCTCTTTCCCTCTCTCTCTCAAAAATAAAGAAATAAATTATTTTAATAAAATAAAAAATAAAAAGGGGTTAGAATGCACCAAAAACCGTAGAATGCACCAAAAGCTGTGTTGGGTAAATGAAAAACAAAGATAAATAAAATTAAGTAACTTCTTTCTAAACGAGAGTTTTTCTCTATATGTTTTAAAAACCATAATCCTGTAGTAAGAAATACACCCTACTGAGTGGTGAAAGACTAAATGCTTTTCCCCTAAGTCTAGGATAAATTCAAGGATGTCTGCTTTCACCACATTTATTTAATATTGTACTGAAGTGTGGAATGTTGTACCTATAGGGAAGTAGATAAACAGAACAGTACAAAGTTCAGAAAGACCACTTACAAGGTAAATTGATGTTCAGAAAAAGTGCCTAAGTAATAATATTTGAAAAGCAAATCTTTTTAGCAAATGGAGCTAGAACATTTGGATAATCATATGCAAACAAAACAAAACACCAAAAGAAAACAAACACACAAAAAAACTTTTCTATCCCACCTCGCTTTTAGGCAAACTTTATTGTGAGATCTATCATAGATCTAAACATGAAATCTAAAATTATAAAAATTCTAGTTAGAAAGCATAGAAGAATGCCTTTGCAAATTTAAACTGGGAAAAGTTACTTAATATGAAGCAAACAGCACTCACTAAAGCTTTTGCTGATCCCAAAACCACTAAGAAACTGAATAGACAAGCCACAGATTGGGAGACTATATTCCCTGTGTATACATCTGAAAAATGATTAGTATCTAAATGTAACACTGTATGTTAACTGACTGGAATTAAAATACAAACTTTAAAAAAAACTAGTATCTATGGGGTGCCTACATAGCTCAGTCAATTAGCGTCTGTCTGACTCTTGACTTTGGCTCAGGTCAAGATCTCACAGTTCATGAAACTGAGCCCTGCGTCAGGCTCCGTGCTGAGAGCCTGGGATTCAATCTGTCTCTCTCTCTCTGCCCCTTCCCTGCTCTCTCTCTCTCTCTCTCTCTCAAAAATAAATAAACTTAAAAAAAAGATTAGTATCTAGAATCTATAAAAAATTCCATCAAGTCAATAATTAAACACACATATATCAGAATTACTAAAACAAACAAACAAACAAACAAAGACCATATATTGATGAGGATAAGGATGTGGAAGTACTGGAGCAATTACTGTTGGCAGTTTAAAACGATACAACTACCTTGGGAAGATTGGCTATTATGTATAAAGTCATACATGGAGTTCTGCTATGACCTAGCAATTCTACTTAGGTATTTAACCAAGGGAAATAGAAGCACATGTTCACAAAACAACTTGTACAAGAGTTTCCATAATATTTTACTCACAGTCACCATTAAACTATAAATAAACCAATGCCTATCCAAGGAGAAAAGATCAACAAGTTTATACATAAATAGAAAGGGATAATTCACTGATTAATATAATGGCATGGGTATATCTCACAATTATGTTGAGTGAAAGAAGCCAGATACAAAAAAAGTATATCACATTAGATTCTATTAATACAAAGTTCTAGAGGCCAAAATAATACATGGTGTTAGAATTCCTAAGAGTGGTTGCCTATGGAAAATAGAAGGCCAGGATTGGGCTGACGGGAAAGTGATTTGAAGGAAACATCTGGGGTGATGGAAGTGTTCTATATTGTGTTGAAAGTATAGGTACATTTTTGTCAAAACTTATCAAGTTGTACACTGAAACCTGTGCATTTCACAGTACGTAAATAGTACTTCAATTAAAAATGGAGGCAAAATTAGAAGGTTGAAAACATAGAAATATTTAAGAACAGTATCATAACTAATACTAATTGCAGGCACTTCTACATAGGAATTTTACTAGACTTTTAGGAAACACATCATTCCAATCTATGCAGATGTTGGAGGAGTCGTTGAGATATGACTGCCAATTGACCCACAACCTGGACTTTGGCAAGCAGAGGCTCTTTATCCCCTCCCTTATCCTTGGAATTTATGTTCCACCCACTGTTCCCACAATCGGAGCCACTTTAAGGACACAGCCTTTAGACCATCTGGACTGTAAACATGACTGAACCATATTAAGGCGTCTGTATAAACTCTTAAGATTGTGGTGGGCAGGTGCTAAGATCTACTCATTTTGCAGTCACCCAAGACCAGTCTCATATAGAAGTTCCTTGCTTATTAAACCTTTCACCTACCAATCTGGAGTGGCCTACCTCTTTCTTCACTCTGTTCTTGCCCTGCATGTACAGGAGCCAGTTTTGAAAATCACTGGGAAATTGCTATGCTTGTGAGCTAATAGCAGACTATCCAGAGGAAGAAATAGGGAAATATCCCTCAACTCAGTTAGCAGTCTAGTATAACCTTGATATAAAAGCATATCAGAAAAGAGAATTTATAGAGCAAATCCACTCATGAAATAAAAAACACTTAACAAAATACCAGCCTGCTGTATATACAAAAAACACATGATGATTGAGTTGTGTTTGTCACAGATACACAGGTAGTTTAAGATTTATAACCCCTAAGTTATAACCCTTAATTTATAACAATGGAGAAAAAATGGTTAACGTTTTATTTGGATGTGAAAAAAGGCTAACATTTTATTTAAACAGAAAAATAATTTTATGAAATTCAGTTCCAATCTTTGTAAAACTCATATCATCTGAAAAATGAAGGAAACTTCCTTCATTTTAGTAGAAGCTTTCTACTAAAAACCCATAAGAATAGTGTATTTATGAGTAAAATAATATTAAAAACAAGGTAAAGATCCACATTCTTGTTTTCTTCAACAATGAATATTCAAGCCACTGAATAAATGTAATAAACATCAGAAAGTAAGAAACAAAATATATATAATATATATAAAATTTATATATATTATATATATACATATATATAATATATATATATATATATATGGAGAGAGACAGAGAGAGAGAGAGAGAGAGAAAGAGAGAGAGAGAGAGAGAGAGAGGGCTTAACGTAATTTCAGAAAAATCATCAGAATAAGTAAAAGAGCTTAGCAAGGTGTTTCATACAAAATCAATATAAAAAATCAATTGTATTTTTGTGCACAAGCAACATATAATTAGTAATTTTTTTAAAGAGAGATATCATTTACAGCATCAGTAAAAAATAAATAAGATTTCCTAAGAATAAACTGAATTCTGTATAATCAAAACATTTACAGAAAATATATAAAATACATTAATAAAGCTGTCAAATGTATATACATAGACTGAGAGGCAGATCATGTTCATGGACATGAAGTCTCAATTTCTAGTATTTTCAATTACATCTATAGCTCAACACAGTTCTAATTACAATCATAATAGGATTTGGATCAACTTACCAACTGGTTGTAAAATTTGTATGAAAACATCAAAGTCCAAGAATACTCAAAGCATTCAGAAGCAGAAGAACAAGTTGAGGACTATGCCTATCACATACAAAGATTCATTATCAAGCTGTATTAATTATGACAATGTGATATGTGTAGTCCTGGAACACAGATAGAAAATGGAGCAGTGGAATCCAGAATCCAGAAACAGACTCCTCCTTATGTTAAAATGATGTACGATACCAGGGGCAGTACAGATCACTAAAGCAGTATAATGGCCCCCTAAAGATGCCCATGGCCTAATACCCAGGATCTGTAAATATGTTACTCTGCAAAAGAGACTCTGCAACTCTGACTAAATTAGGAATCTTGTGATGAAGAGATTATCCTAGATTACCCAGGTGTGCTCAATGTCCTTATACATTAAAGAAAAATGCAACAGAATCAGAGGTTGGAGTCATGCAGTTGCTGGCTTTGAAGACAGGAGGAAGCCATGAGGCACAGAATAAGGATACCTTCTAGAAGCTAGAGGAATCAAGGAACAGATTTTCCCATAAAACTCCCAGAAGGAATGCAGCCTTACTGACATCTTAATTTTAGTGCATGAGAACCATTTCAGACTTCTGATCTTTATAACTGTAAAATAAGAAATCTGTTGTGTTTCGAGCCACTTAAGTTTGTGTTAACTATTACAGAAATAACAGAAAACTAATATGTTAGGGAAAGAAGGAACTATCTAATACAGAGCATAATTGGCTACCCATAGTAAGAATAATGAAATTGTTTCCACCATAAAAAAAAAGATAAATAGAGATGGATTATAGATTTAGGAGTGAAAGGCAAAATTTTAGAATTTCTAACAGAAAAATAAAGGAAAATAATGCCTAAGAGTTCTAAGA